ATAGAAAAGGAAAAAAAAAAAAAAAAGACATCAATCAGCTTACCTGCTATATCCTTTGGCATCAGGTAGCTCATAAGCATCAATCTCACGAATAGTCCCAATAATAGCCTTAGTGAGGGCATCATTGTCCATTTCAAGTTCCCTCAAAAACTTGCTTGTTCCATCATAAACATTGAGCGTCTTCAACAAATTGGGATCTCTGTAAGACAAATAAGAGAACACACCTGAACAAAAGAAAAAACAATGGTTAAACCAGCAGGAAAAAATTAAAGTGAGTATAAAACAGAACAGTCGGACTGCTAAATTGGGACCTGAATCAGAGTCGAAATCACAAAATCCTCCATATGCTCCACCACTGACACGCACACGATTCCACAGCCATGTGTTGCTCAAGTAATTGGAGATAACATACGAGCTGCCTTTAAGTTGATAACCACTCTCAAAAAGGTTAGTTGCTTTTCCAACATAATTCACCTGTGTAAGGATGATGATGACTTTTTTAATTAAAATGGGATAACAGAACAGGTAAGCACACACCTTCAGGTTCAGTCTAATCGTAGAAAGCTCAAATACTTTCTGAAAACTACAACTGTCCCTCGACATTGTTTTCGATTTTAGGAATTGAAAAGAGTTTGTAATTCTAGAAAATAATTGATTGTTTACTGTTTCTATAGAAAAGTTAAGCTAGCAAACAACAAATTGCTCCTAACCTTTGTAGGTATCACAATGGCTTCATTTTTGGGAGGGAGTCGAGCACTCCAAGCTGCTGATCTGACTGGAGGTGCGTTGGGAAGCATATCTACAAAGTTGCTGACATGTTTCTCTGCGCTCTCGAGATTTTTAGCATCAGCAGTCAGATTTATGAGGCAATCATTCTTCGAAATCAATGTTCTGCGTATCTCCTCGAGGGAAGAAGATATTGCAGGCCAGATATCATCAACTTTCTTTTCAAGAGCTCGTAAGAATTCGAGGTAACTGCAAGCATAACAAGACAACACTATTGAGGGAAATAAGCAACTTCAGAAGAATTAAGAAAAAGTTAAGATGTATATTACATGAAGACCTCAAAAAAGCAATGATGACAGGTATAATCAAACAATCGTCCATTTATATAATCAAATGAACTAATAACACCAGAACCAACAACAAAAACAACGAAGAGCAACAAAGAAGAAAAAATGAAAATGTGCAATAACTTATTGAATTCAGTAAGTAGCCAACTCAAGCTGGCTCATAATAACAGTGTATCTTATCACAATTTATTTCAAAAGTTCCACCCAACACCATACATAATCGGTAAGAATTAGATTTCAACAAATTAACCTGAGACCACCCATTTTTTCAGAGATCCAACCAGCAGTGTTGAGCTTGGCATCCATTCTTGTAGCTGCAATGTCATGCCCACAAGCGCTTAATCGTTGCTGAAAGTGAACAATATGCATCGTTTAGTTAAGAAATGTAATTTAGTTTCCGTTCTTCAAGGATGAAAAATTACCTCCATTCTGGCTCTGCTTTGAGACACAAACTGCTTAAAACGCTTTTGGTCCGTCAACTGAACATCTTGAATCACACAGTTGACCTACAAATTGGTAAGTTTACTACTGCATCAATCAATCTTCATCTATTAAACGCTAAGGGCTCGCTTGTTTACAAAATAATATGTCCAAAATGAGTTATTTTGGTTAACCAGAGTTAATTTTGAAAAAGGTGGTATGATTAGTTGTTAGTGGAATTTTAAGAATGTATTAAAATAATATGTAAAATAAAATGATTAAAATTTATTTGATATAAAAGTATGAGATAAATGATTGGAAATGATAGGTAGTCAAAATTATGGGAGTGGATGAATAATGAATTAAGTTGATGTGATGTGTAAGAATGATTGATTTGTATTATTTTAATTATATGAATAATATTAAAGATAGTGGGGTTGAGTTAAAGTTGAGTTAGATTTTGAGTATGAATTAAATATGAGTGAAATAATTTATAAACAAGCATGCCGTAAGCTGGTAGATCACCTCTGGTAAACCTTACAGTATGTATAACATAAAACCATGCTTAATGATAATACGTGCGGTACGGGAAATCAATGTGAAGATGAGTAGTCTTCAACAAATTCCTCTATCTTTCCAGGTCAATATTAAAACGTAAAAGAATTATGGGGGACTCAAAGAAACTGAAACCAAATAAAACAGAAGCAAATATAGCTATAAATAAAGGCACCATAAAAAGGAAAGGACGAGAAGCTCCAATAGAAGATCATGGCTAAAGATGATTTTGTGATGATCAGTTTAACGCTAATTAATATCAGGAAGGATAACAGCTAGGTACCAAATTAAATAAATCTTCAGTACGTTCTGACATAGCTTTGCCTTGAACAATTAAACGGCAGCATGGGTCCTCCCGTCCATGAACCGATGATATAAGAGGATATATTGATATCCCACCAGTTTTTCTTCCGATTAATCGGTCTAGTTGTACAAAATCCATGTCCTTTGTACCCATCTCAAGCAGTGACTGGCTGTTGACATATATACATCATCAGTTTTCATGTTCATAATGGAAAAAAAGATGGAAAAAAATAATCAGTCAAATTTAATGCTCACTAGTCAAACATGAATGTTTGACTATGCTGAACTCAGATCTACTTACATGGCCATTTGAAGGTTACAGGTACTCTTTAATTTATCAGGGACAATATGTTTTCAGGTAAAGTAAATACCCTATATGAAATTGCTAAATGTTTATAATCTCAGACAAAGGCTTGTTATGCTTAAAGCAACAAACTTACGCTACATATCATTCATGCTTATTGGCCCAAACTTTGGGAATCAAGAATGATGAACCATATCCAGGAACCAAAACAGACTGTACTACTGTGTCTTTTTCAAGCACATCTGTATTTGGTTTCCTCAGGAACCAGGAAATTCAATCAACTAGAACTCGCGATAAGCCCAAGATCAAAAGCTAACTTTTTTAAACCAAGTCCAATCTCACAAACTCAAGTCAAGTGTCAGTGCTGGTGATCTCTGTTTGAATTGGGTTTGGGGCATCTAAAGTGAAAGTACAGATTCTGCTATATTATACTCAGTTCCAAACAGGAAGTCAACACACTTAGTTTATTGCTCACCAGAATAGTGGTAACAAAGGAAGAAGCTCCTGCTTCAAAGAGCTCATATTGAATACAACTTCTGCATATAGGACATCATTTGTGAAAAGGTCATGCCGCAAAACCTTCACACCATTGATATCGCCAATCTGCAGTTGAACGCAATAAACATAAACTTCAAAGGAAAAGATGAGATAACACAATAAACATAAACTTCAAAGGAAAAGATGAGATAAATCAACAAAATGTATAGAATTTTGTCATTTTATCACCTCAATAGGAATGTGCATAGGTTTTTTAGGAATGTCCCACAAAGAAAGGCTTGGTACACATTTCAAAGCTTCAGGTGGGTCAGGAGTCTCCTGTTTCAACTTGAGTTCATGCGTTGCACGAACCAGCTCAGCAAGATCCTCTGGGGTCAAACTAGATTTGACCTTCTCCAATTTTTCTCTCTCAGCTGCTTCATCGCGGGAAGCCTTCTCCGGATCAGGCTATTCAGAACATCACTTAGCTATGTAACAGCAGTACCACATTTCACCTTACAAAGCCAAAACACAGCAGTAGAAAAAGAATACCTGCAATTCTACAGTTACACGGTGTGGGTTGTTCAAAATGAATTTTTCTATTAAGGGAGCAAAGACTGCTTTGGAGCCTTCTTCAGCTATTCTGGCTTTCAATGCATTTAGAGGTCCTTGATATTTTAACGGCTCGAATGGATCCTTATCATATATCCAATTCCCCTATCAGAAACAAAGTGCTCATAAGAACTTTTCAGAATCTAAAAATGATGGGTAGAGGGAAAACATAGTTCAAAAAGTAACTATAATTGAGATATTACAAACAACCAACCCTGAGGTTTGGGGTATTTATAGTGAAAGAAAAAAACAACCAAGTTTAAAATTTACAAAAGCCACCTTTGAGGTTTGGTTAAGTTGACGTCTTGACCCAACCATTAGTTACCTAACAGAATTTGATGATGTCAGCAACTTCTATAGTCCCAATAAAGCAGGTGCAAAATTGTAAGGCAAGCGTTACTCAAGTTTGTGTTGTTTTCTGTAACTCTAAAATTAGCTGGCCTTTTTCCCCGTAATATGGCCAGACCACAAGGACAAATTGTAATTATCCCTGGTGCTTACCATAGAGCTTAGCATAAGTTCTAATCCACGAGGAGATGAACCGGTGTTGTTTTCTCTGAGTGAAAATTCAATCGTGTTCATTGATGCCTCCACAGCATCAGAATCGAAGCCTTCCTCCACCAATTTCGCAAGTGTGGTCGTGATCAGATCTTCTACTTTTTGAATGTCGTCATCTGATACACCTTCTAATCCAATGCTGAACACAGGCTGAAGGCGCTCATCTTCAAGCCCCCCACCAAAAATAGCATCTCCGAGGCGGCTCTCTAGAAGAATTTTTGTCAAAGGTGAAGAAGGAGTTCCCAACAATAAGTCATCCAGAAAGCCTAGGGCCAGCTCAGTTTCCAAGTCAAGTGGTGCTTCAGAGAGGAGCCAATTTAAGCACACAATGCGCGACTTTTTCACGTCATCAGAAGGATACTTCTCGACAATCCTGACTGGTTCGGAAAACAATTTCTGATAATCAATTCTTGATTCCTCAGGAGCTGAACTTGCTTTGAACTTATCTAGATATTCTGCAAGGGGAAGCATCGAAAGAAGTTTCAAGGAAATTTCAAGAATATTCGCAACAAAGATGCTCTGATGAATGCATATTGATTTAAACAATATATCAAGAAACTTGTAACAGGCAATAAATAGATATACTCGTACAGATAATACACGCACATGACATGTTCCATACTGAAAGCAATTGGGTAGAGCCCATAGGATGAAGGACATTCCGTAGAGGACAAGAAAAGAATGTTGCTGTCAGTTTTTTCCCATTCATTTGAATTCCAGATAAACAACAAAAGAAGAAGGGAGAAGAATTAATAAGACAACAAAAAAAAAAAATAGAAGTTAAAAGACAATATCCACAGAGAAATATAAAACACATACCACTTAAAATGCGTAGCCTTTTGGTTGGATCATCATCTCCGTAAAACCATATTCTTGCATTGCTCGGATGGTAATATTTTCGGTGGAACTCCTGTACATATAACGATAAAATAACAATGATAATGCATAATATGACATCTATATACTAAACAAAGAGAGAAATTTACCCTCATTCAGAAGTACTCTACATTTATTTGCAAAATGTAAAATTATGAGGATGGCAAAATGAGTGTAGACCAGGTAGAATATCGTATTATTAGAACATGGTAAAATGAGTATCTTTCACGAGGGTGGACCCCATGGAGAGGGATAGGAACGAATGGGGGTCTTGGCTTGAAAAGTGCACTGGACTACAATCTTTCTCTGTTGGCTAAGACGGGCTGGAATTTACATGCTCGTAAGAAAAAGCTTTGGTATAACATTATGTGCAGCAAGTATCTGAAAGATGATATTGATTTTCCGCACAAAGAAAAGAGATCTTCTCTTGTCTTGCGCTATATGTACTAGGGATGGCGCTCTGGGAGACATGGTAAACCGATCTTTGAGAGCGTGTTGCTATCTAGAGGTAGTAATTTTGGAAGATAATGAAACTTGATGCCACAATTGATTAGACTAGTCGAGCAAGGGCGAACTGTGAACTAGAAATTTCTCTTTTTTATTTTATTTTTATTTCGTTTGTTTAAATTTGTTTTGCTTCATTCATTTTTTTTTTTTTAGTTAGTTTAGTTATTAAATCCAATTCCCCCCTTTTTATTTCTTTTCAAAACTTCAATTAATACGAAAAACTCACAATTTGATTCACACTCCTCGTGGGATCAACCCTTACTTGCCTCTACTACTAGTTAGAGGCACAACGCGCGGTCAGAGGTACTCATTGAAGAGTGGGGTTCAAGAATCACAATAATCAAAATTTATAATTGGTGTAACTTCTCAAATTTATATTTGGTGCAACTTGTCATCATTGAGGGCAAACTACATCATGAAGGGCAAACAACTTACAAGACCCCTTTGATATAAGATTAAGTATCAATTTTCCCATTATTCATATTCAAATTTTCCATTATTCATATATAAAGATTTTCATGATAATAATCTAAATTTATATTTGGTGTAACTTCCCACCATTGAAGCCAAACTACGTCATGAAGGGCAAACAACATCAAAGCCCTTTATATAAGATTAAGTATCGATTTTTGCATTATTCATATATAGGATTTTCAAGAAATAAACAAATTCAGTCAATATTTGATATAAGATTAAGTATCAATTTTCCCGTTGTCCATATATAGGATTTTTAAGAAACATACAAATTCAGTCAATAAACGTGAATGCAAGCAATAAGAAATACATGAAATGAAAAAATAATTATAAATATTAGTGAAGGGAGCGAACCTTAAATTCTTCGAATGTTAGTTTGGGAATTACTTGTGGATCACCACCACTATCGTGTCCATAAGTGTTGTCCGGAAAAAGAGCCTACACAAAAGTGTGACAAATATTTAAGACCAGTCGTGCTACAGTATTGTGAGCCTTTAACAGTTGCTTGTATCAGAAGAGAACGTATCAAGCACTCTTAATTTTATCTTTGTTTCATTTCTAAAAAAACAGAGCACAGATAAATCATGAGCAGAAAAATTCAAAATCTTAAATTTAGTATGATAATGAAGCTTACCTGTTGGGAAGCCGTGTAATGTATGTTGCCAGGCTGAGAATAATCACCTTTCATCTCATTGAAAACAACACCTGGTGTATAATTCAAACACCAATGATGTAATGAACTAATGAATCTCCTCTACCTTGTCTAAATATATAGATAATGCCAACCTTTATAAATTATATCTTCCGACGGGTCGTTCAGTTCGTAATGCCAACCTTCCTGTTGAAAGATTTTAATGTCTTCCACACACTTGGGGAAAAAGACAGCGTCTAAGTACACATCAACCAGGTTATAGAAATCCTGCAGACAAATAGTAGCAGCATGTCACTTAAAATAAGATTTTGTCACAAAAATTCTTCTGTGTTTTTACAGTAGTTTTACTTGGATATTGAAGGACCAGACCTTTGCGTTAGTGGAGGCTACAGGATAACAAGTCATATCAGGATATGTGAATGCATTCAGAAACGTATGCAAGCTCCCTTTCAACAACTCAACAAATGGGTCTTTCAGAGGGTATTTTCGCGAACCACAAAGCACACTGTGTTCCAAAATGTGAGCAATTCCAGTCGAATCTTTTCTGCATCAACATTTTAACATGTTGGAACTTCATTAAGTGGCTCATCTTAACAAAAAAAACAGAAAATAACATTGTCGGATAAGAAAATATTCAATAAAATACTCGTTGTAATTAATCTTAATCTAATCTCAAAACAGGCCACCGCATACCAACTTCAACAGCTGTGAACGAGAAATGTTCCTACATTCTCAATCCACATTTCAATGTTCTTATTTCAACTTGGACAAGTTTCCACATGAGAGCTAAAAACATACTGTTCTTATCAATTGCCACATAACAATACAAGCAACACAGAACGGAAACAAAATAATACCATCAACATTCCAATTCACATTAACGAAGCAATTTTGGATTCAAATAATCTACCGCTAAAACAAGGATTCAATCTGCTTACGGAGTAGTCCTGAACACAATGCCAAAGACTTTGTTCTCGTCATCATTCATCACTGACATGATCTCGGCGCCAGTCTTCTTGTGCTTATACAGCACCGCCCGAGAATTACACTCGACGATGAATTCCTCCGACACCTTCTCGAACCCGAGCTTCTCCGCCGCGTCTTCATCCGCTCCCAAAACCTCTGGGGAAAAAAAAAATCAACAAACCGATTATCACAAAAGTCAAATTTAGCTCAATAGATATGCATACATTCATATATACACATATGCTTATGAATGAAAAGGGAAAATCCTCAATTTACCAGGCGGTGACTGAACAGTGGAAGTGGAAACCGCGCGCACGGAGAGATGGCAGAAGTGTCTTTTCGGTTTAAGGAAAGGTCGGGAGACTGGCGGAACGAGGCCTAGGTGTCTCCGGAGTAGGGAGCGGCGGTGGCCGCTGGGGACCAAGCGGCGGCGCTTGGGGAGGCGAGCTTGGCGATGGAGCGAGCGGGAGAATAATCTGGTGGAGGCGAGTGCAGAGGAAGGAGATGAGGAGGAAAATGAGTGAATTAGCGCCGCTCGCTCCATTGGTGTGCTGTGGAGGAAGGAACAAAGGACGGAGGTTAGAAGATGGAGACTTCAGAAACCGGAAATGAACATGTATGCGAACTTGCGATTTGCGAAGAGATAAAGTTAATTAATAAAATAATGTAAAATATCTTCGGTTATTGCTTGTACATTTTTAGTAGCCTCCAAAATTTAGATATTTTTACACTTAAATATTTGTGGTGAACATATGGAACATTTTGCAAGCTTCTCTTCCTTTGTTTTTTCTGAATTTTGTTATTGGTTATGGTTACGTTTGGTAAACCTAATTAATCTAATTAATAAATGATAAAGTTAATTTTAAAAATTAGTTGTTTTATTATCAAAACCCCTCACTGTCCCGTTGGAGGTCCGAGCGCCCTCGATGCCTGCTTGTCGGGGAGAATCTAATTAATAAATGATAAAGTTAATTTTAAAAATTAGTTGATATAATAAAAGTATTTAGTAAAATTAGTTGATAAGTTAATTGAAAAAATAAAAAATCAACGGGCTTATTTGAAAATATATCCAGTGAAGCTTAAAAGATAAAAGTTCAATATTAAAACAAAAAAAAAAAAACTTTGTATTTCCAAATAAAACTTATTTGAATACATAAAATTTGTAAACTAACCAAATAATCAATAAACTAGTTTATGATACTTATCAAACACACTCATTAGTCCTTAATTACACAAGTTAAAAATGGGTAGGATTGGTTGGCCGAACCACAAACCGGTTCTCTAGTCTAACCCTCTTTAAAAAATCGATTGCAAAAAACTAGTCATTGTTCGGGTGAACCGAACAAGAATTGAGGGGTCGGTATGATTCATTTTTATTATCTAACGAAGATACTTTTAACATTGTTAATGTATTTTTAATATAAATACAAAATATTTTGGATGCACCTCAGTGAGGGTTAGGCTATTTTTCATGTATAGACGAGAGGACAAATGGGTGAGGTCTCATGCACGTGATGAATCGAGAACAAACAGGTGCGGTCTCATGCACGAGAAGCGCACCATACAAGGGTTAGCCTAGATAGCCTTATTGAGGTTCCATCCCAAAACCATTTGATAGTAAGAGGAGTGGTCTAATAGACTTATAAGTTGGACCTATATGTATTAACAATGTAGGATTACTCACAAGTGATATTCTAATAATTAACAAGTAATTTAACATATTCGCCCGAATGGTGCTGAACATTAGCATAGGTGGGCTCATAACCGTGGGTAGTTCGACTCTAGAAGCTACATTTTAACGAGGAGAATTTTCTTGAGTCCATGAGTATAAACTGGAATATGTGGGTCCAAGATTAGTCTAGCATAAGTTTGAAAAAAAAAAAAAATGATTCAATGGTTGGATTTTGATAACCTTGCCCATAACATCCATATGAACGAAAGATCTTGACAATTTTGCCCATAAAAATGATTCAATGGTTGGATTTTGATAACCTTGCCCATAACATTATATGAACGAAAGCATCGATTAAACGCCAATCTTCGTCGTTTATCTCATATTCGCGCTTCTTTGTGGTGTGAAAGTACGTAAAGTAATAGCAGCAGACAATTTGTGTGATTTGTGAGCTGATGAAGGAATTTTTGGCTGTCCTTCTCCCCAGGTTAATCTCTAAACAAACAAAATGTTATAGTTTCATAAATTCAATTTGAACTACGTTACTTTCTGCTATTTTATAATCGCNGTCATTTGGAATTAAGTTTATTGAACTATAAAGGCGGTAGACGAGTCGAGCATTAATACTCTTATCGAGTCGATTTTTTAGTTGCTGCTCGAGCTTGATTTTGTAAGACTCGGCTCGGCTCAACAAAAATTTACAAACGCTCGAGATCATAGCTCTAATTTCACTCATATTCGGCTCCAATTTTCAATAAATTTGAAATTCTATTAAAATAATAGATTTTCTCCGAGTTTGGCTCGAATTCTAATCGAGTTAGGGGTATTTAGGTAAACTGCACATCCCCGAGTTCAGCTCGAAATCGAATTTGAGGTACTCGTGTTTGGTCAAACTTGAGCTAGAGTCGAGCTTTGACTTGAGTGCTTGCAAGCAGCTTGATTCATTTGCAAACCTCCTGTAGAGTTTGATTTTTTCTAAAATTAGGTGACAGCGGCTAAGGTTATTTGTATTTCAAATTATTATTCTTTTTTTTCATATTATTAATGTTTAATATTTTTCCATAATTTTGCGGGGTGGTGGGTTCAATTGCCAATTTATCAGCTGCAACTGAAGGAAACAGTATAATTACTCATTATAAATCCTGTTCCAGAGCCAGATGTTCCTAGAAAATGCTTGATGCCGTCCTTTTTTTTTTCTGTTGGAAGTACAATAATTAATATGTAATATAATATTGTATAAAATAAAATCCATGCATTGTAAATCATTTTTATAGATAGATTGAAGTTCTATATTTGTTTGGTAGTTGTATGATGTATTTTATGCACAAATTCATCTGTCATGATATGCTTTTAAATCCATATTCTCTATTTGTTTTTTAGCCAAAGGATCCTTAACATAGTAATGAAGCAAAATGAGCACAACCATTAACTTCTACTTAAATCTCATCATCAAAAGCTTTATTTGGTAAGTTGAAGTTTGCTTTATACATTCTGTGTAATTGCATATATAAAATCGTATATCTATCCCTCATCATGTTAAGAAGTTTTTGCAATGTACACATTCCATTTTAGGTCGGCTTGTAAACATCATCAAGGATCTTGAATAAATAATTTGTGTATACGAAATACTTACTTGATGCGGAAGACAACATAATTTGTAATCTTGATCTTGATGATCACAAGGAGTTGAATCGATTGGTAGATCTAAATTAGTTTTTCCCTCCTGACCTTCTCTTAACATAGCAGAAAAGTGATGGGATAATTACTGCGTACCCTATAGAGGACTAATTTATATAAGGGATGTTTTAGATCTGGTACGTCCATCAAATATCCAGATTAATGGCTTGTATTTGTTTGACTATTAAATAAAGGCCTAGCCCAATAAGATAATTGATTGTTAGCCCAATACTTTCGGGCCACATATTCTTACACGGCTGACCTTGCCAAGTTTGTTCACAAAAGCTTTCGAGGATTTGAGCAATATGGCCGTTTTTTTTTTTTTTTTTTTTGTGGTAATAATTAGTCTCTAATAATGGATGTTTTTGTCTTACAGTTCTTGCACCCACGAGAAGAGTATCTGTTAGGACATTACATGCATCGAGGGAATAATTTGTAGTTTGTACAAGTGAAAAAAAAACAGGTGGATTTGTTGTAGTTAGATTGCACCTTTGGGTAGTTTTGTAGTCATAACTATTAAGTTGTGCTAATTCAACATAAACTTGCAAGATAATTTTAAGAGAACGATGATACAAAGTGTTAGGATTTTGAATGGCGTAATTCGATAACTCATTTTTTGTATGTAAGGAAGCAAGACAAAGTAAAGAGAAGATTGGTTTGTTTATAATTAAGTTTGCTTTTGTATTAATCTATCATTATATAAAAAGAATAACCATTTTACAAATTTAGAAACTTTTTCCCGCCAAAATCATTAAATATATCCTATATATAGTCATTGTTGGACAAATCTGAATAGGCAAAAAAATCTGCTCATTAATTGTGTAAAGATTTGTTTCTCTTTTTCCTATTTCTTAGTTTATCGTTTTAACAATAAATATTTGTTTTTCTTTTTCCTATTTTTAGTATAAATCTACACGAGCTTATCTCTTCTGTTACAAAATCTCATTGCATACGATCTTAGGTGTTTAAAAAATCTCATCTCTTATCTATACAGATTTGAAAAAATAAAATAAAATAGAAATCAATTCATAATTACTACTAGAAATTCATTATCTTTAAAAAGAAAAAATAAAATAAAATAGAAACCAATTCATAATTACTACTAGAAATCCATTATCTACTTTAAGAAGCTAATTTTCATCGGTCTAATTACTAATATTTTTACAAATATTCTAAGCTAACCATACAAAAAAGTATAATGATAATTTTGAAATGGTGTGTAATCAAATTTTTTTATATTCTCTTATACAAAATCATTTTACATTGTTTGACCCCGAATCTTTAATTTATAATTATTACGTATTGTTTATCCTCTTCTTTTATTTATAATTATTTTTTTTTCTTCCTCTTTTTAAATACGATCAATAGTAGTTTTCACTTCCGCCATTGACTCAAACTCGAGGTCTATTTATAATATTGTTAATTTAATATTGTTCCCGTGCATCGCACGGGGTACACACTAGTTATTGTATATTGAGTTAAATTTTATCTAGGTTTTTCTTCCTTATTTAACACGTAAATGTGGTGCGGTTGAAGGATGACGATGCGTTATTGACTCATATGGAATTAAAAATACGAGTCATCTTAAAAAGATCTATCGAATCTAGCAAATAAGGAAAATCGTATTCCTTCCTATATAGCTTCAAGACTACCATATTCAACGCGATTATGAAGATCTTGAAGACTGGACAATGAAGTAAACTCACATTTTATTAAGATTTGGAAGACCCACGGCCAAACGATGTTGATCATATATTCATAAGTCTTCATGTTTATATTGTGATGATCGTGATCGTACAGGATGAAAGGCAGATATCTTTATCTTTTCCGTTTTACTCATGACACTGGAGAAGTGTTCGTTTTCCTGCAGAGTGCTACAATAAAGACCCTTAAGTAGGGTTGTAAACGAATCGAATCAAAGCGAATACTCAGAAATTCGATTCGGATTCGTTAAAATATTCGAAGATTCGAATTCGTATTCGATTCGTTAACGAACTCATTTTTTGATTCGTATTCGATTCGTTTAGAACATTCGAACATATTCGATTCGATTCGAATTCGTTTTCAAAAAAAATATAATTAAAAATATTATAATTACAAAAAATAATTTTTATTTTTCCTATATTTTTAGGAAGATTTGTTAATTATAATGTTTTATTTTTTATGTCATAAAAATAGTAGAAATATAGCAATATATATATATACATATATATTATAAACAAAATGTATACTATATATAATTTATAAAATTTACATAATTATTGTTAACGAATCGAATATTCGAATTGTGAATCGAATATCTCCAAATTCGAATTCGGATTCGTTTAACTTTCGAATATAAAATATTATTCGTATTCGAATTCGAATTCGAATATTTCGAATTCGAATCACGAATATCGAATTCGAATATCGAATCGAATAAAAAAAGTTTGATTTGTTTACAAGCCTACCCTTAAGTGCACATGTTGGCTAGAAAAGTAACTATGGAGGTGAAGTGGAGAGGTAATATGATCAGAACTTGGAAGAGTTTTAGTTTCGTAAATGTGTAATACGCTACGTGCGTCCGACCATTTACTATTGAAATAATCATGAGGGAAGTAAATGCTTTGAGAAGAAACTTTTGTTTAATCGCTTCCGCATTTTATTTTGTGTTGTTACATAAAAGTTGGTCATGTAACTTAAGATTTATTTCTTTTTCTCCTTCCGAACATTATTTATTAAAAAAAAAAAAAAGCCTCCCATTAACAATGACCTAGAAAGTTAATCCAAATAAAAATGCATCAAATATTTTCGTATGTAAAATAATAATATGTCCCTGTTTTTATGGTCTCTCCCCACTAACTCTCTTCCATATCCTATCAAATAAACCTACGAAAATCTTTAGATTCAAAATCTTATAGTATCATCAACTTTATAACTTAAGTTTTTTTAAACTAAAATCTCAAAAAGAAAATTCACATTATTGTTGCTCTTATACCTTCATTCATACATATTTGCCCAAGTGTTCTTTCTCACATTAAAGTAATGATTGTATTTGTTGGGTATCATTCTATGCTTGAGTAAATAAGTTACCTTTGGAGGTAAATTTTAAAACACACTTGATATTGAGTTCTATAGAAAGATAAGTCCAAGAGGCCGAATCCAAAAAAAACAAATAAAAATTCGGTGTGGCAACTAGGGTCGAACCTTCCAATGGTAGATTTAATAATAATAATAATAATAATAATAATAATAATAATAATAATAATAATAGTAATAATAATAATAATAATAATAAACTTCCATTGAAACCAAGGAGATTTTTGTCTACTAGCACAACTTTTTACTATAAGTCAATGAGATAATTAAACGCCTTATCAAATCAACTCCTAATACAAGTCACGCAACTTTTGCGCTAAAAGTACACAATTTGTGCACCAAATTCAAACTTCATGAAGACCCTATCTGCTTCAGGTCTTACATTAAAACAAACCTTATACATTGGACATTGTTAATCATCTAGAATAACTGTTTTATTTCATTAAAGTTTTGTTTGCTTGTATTCAGTAATGTCACCCACCTATTATAATTTTATGACAGATCTAATAATATGCATATAGTTAATTAATTTAGATTATGCATATACTTAATTAACAATATTTATTTAAGTTTCAAAAGGTCATACTGAGAGTTCGCAACATAAAAGAAACACTGACATTAAAAAAATCAAATTGGAAACAGAAAATCTAATGAGAAAATATTTCAACAGCAATTCAGAAATTCCTACAGATGTTCTAATAATTCCAACATAACTTTTAAAAACTAATTTATTAATACAAGTACCTATAGTGACAGTGTAACTTTAGTAAGTTGATTAAAAAACCAGTAAACATCCGCTTTAAAGTTGATAGTTACTGCCTTTGAAGTTGATATTTACCTACATATCACCCACTTTTATAGATTACAATCATTTTTCACATAACCCGTGAGAGCTTTTATGAATCCAAATATCACGCTTAAAGTATTATAGACTTCTTTCAACCTTATTTAACTAGCAAATAACTCATGACTTAAAACTGACTAATAAACATCCTTTCTTGAGAATTGATAGAGATACATGTAATGGAGAATTTGACTTCTCGAAAGGCAACTTTTTTTTTCTTTTTTTTTTTTCATTTGTTTGAAATAAAAAAAGCTATCATGGGACATTTTTCTAAAATATTATACTACGTGATGTTTCCCCCTTAAAAATAAAATATTGCATTAGATATATGCATACATATGTACAATCACATTCATACGGTCATATATACAATCAGAACTGTGTTAAACGACCTAACCGTTAAGCTTATCAACTCATCATATCTTTAAGACAAAAATGTAGACTTGTAGTGTATGTTGTTTGAGAAGGTATGGTTTTTAACTGTTAAGGCCTGTCTAACATCAGACGTACCCGAGAGATCAACTCTCATAATCCAAGTGATTTCTTATATGCTAAAAAGTAAAAAATAAAAAAAAATAAAAAAAAAAAAAAGGGCACATTAGGTCAACAGTAAAATTTTCCACAAGAATTGCACGGTAGAAATTCGAATCAAGACACAGCATTGCACCACAATTAATAGAAGTATTTCGATTCCTGATATAGAACAGTTACTATTTCTGGAGAATATCCTGACGAGCAATATCAACGAATATAGAAACTACGCTCAAGGAGCCGTTTAACTCGGACGGGTAAAAGAAGAACTCACGACAAATATGCATGGCATATGTAACCACTAAAAACCCAAAAATTCTCTAGCTCGATTCCTCAGCAAAAACACACGAAAGCTCTGTAATGAATAGTCACATATTTTCCAGTACATAAACCATGTGAGTGAAGGTTCCGTGCAGACATCATAAGACTCAAGACATACGTACAAAGATATGAACACATTCGGGTTTTACCTTTGCATGTCGAAGTCAATATTTGCAGGCATTTGGTCAGATGACTTTCTACAAAAATTGTACTCGATTCGTAAAGGGATTTGAGCTATTTGCAAACTTTTTACAGCTATTCCCCGAATAAAATCGATGTTTTTTTGGGGATAATAACAAAACGGAGCATAAATCGAGTTGCTCCCCTGCATTGTACTTTTTCTTGGTGAATTTTTTCAGGGCCTACTGACAAACGACGCCCTCAAAAGAATGTTCGTGCAAAAATGAAGGCTCGGGATAGTAAATGGCGTTCTTAGATTGAGGTCGAACAGCAGTTTCAGAACCTAGAAACACCATTAATTGCTTCAAGTCAATTGAAATTTTCGAGAATATTAATTCATAAATTAATTCAAAAAAAAAAAAACACATACACACACCTTGTGTAAATTCGGAGCTAAAACCATTCACGGTACTCGTGGACTGATCGAGCACGTTTTTCCCTTTGGCATTCTCCAAAGGTGTGGAGATATCAGGCAGAAAAGGCTCCACATACTTTGTTGTCCTTTTACGCTTCCTTTTATCCTTCTTCTCAAGATCTTCAAAAACGTTACATCATAAGAGGAAAAGACAAATGTTAGAGACCGAATCTCGATGTGTCATTGTCCAAACGCCGGTGAAAATCAGAAAAACGAAATGCAAATTAGCTTTATTTTGAGGAAAAAAAAAAAGAACTAACTAACCAGCATCTTCTCCTCTTCCAAAAGCATCCAATTCCATGAGGCAAAGAGCTGCACTAACGACATCCGAGCCGTGCACTCTCACAATGTGCACCTACAAAGACGATATTATCAAAACGAACTATAAATCATAGAGAAAATAATAACAATTCATTCTTAAAATTCAATATCTTTTGTTAAATATTATTATAAGGGTTGGTTTAAACAAAGGCTATGTTTAGTAAAACTAACTGAGAAGTGATTTTCGAGCTTATAACTTATGACTTATAGCTGAAAAGCTAGCTTATATGATAAAAGTGTTTGCTAAAATTAGCTGATAAGATAAAAATTTCAACGAGCTTATTCGAAAACTATCCATAGAAGCTTTTTTTCTTCTTAACTTTCCATAGAAGCTTATGAGATAAGATTGAGCTTTTAAAAAAAGTTCGTCCTACCAAATGTAGCTTATTTGAATATAAGAAGCTTATAAGCCAACCAAACAAGCTATAAGCTAGCTTATATGGTTACCAAACATAGCCAAAATAATGTTTTCCCACACTTGAACAACTCTTCATACGTCCAAGTCAGTGTTCTACATACATTCAACAATTAAATTACTCCTCAAAATCGTCATTTCTTGTTTTTTTTTTTTTTTTCCTAAAATTTTAAACTCGAGGTTCAATTATACGGGGAGAAAAGAGGATATATACCTGTAATCTACAAGGTGCGGTCAAATGGAAAATGAGTATGTCGCCTTTTAATAGTCTGTGAGCAATAGAGAAGCCTCTCCACCCAGCACTCAAGCCATGCCTCTCGAGAAGATACGATGTTTTGTACTCATTTCCCCATTCGTCCACCAAAATTATAGATGTGTCGTGATTTGGCAAATGAAGACTGCAGAATTTTTTCGGTAGATGCTGCCATAAGAATCATTAGCAAAACTAACAAATGAGTAATTTTTTTATAGTTATTATTTTATAATCTTTTCGAAAAAAAAAAAAGGATCAATAACCGCAATAATGGAGATTTTTCATTTTCGCAAACTATTTACCAGCCAGAATCCATGAGAGACATTCGAGGGGAGCATACACTTCAAGAAAAACGGGAGTTCGAGCTCGTTTTCTAGGCGTGCAAGCACTCTATCCGCACGCTCCATGACTGAAAATTTTGACTCGATATCATCGTATAAGTCGGTTTGCCGAGTCCTCTTTCTCGAGACGCTGTTTTTTGAGTCTCTCATAAGATTTATATATATATATATATATATATATATATATANTTTCTTGGAATTTTCTGAGCAAACCTGTTACAAAAGTCAAAAAGATTAAAAAAAAAAAGTTAAAAATTTGATTATTCCTTGTACAATCAGCACAAATCATTAAAGAGAAAAAAGGGTCACATTCAACGTCTCGAGACGAAAAATAAAAGGAATAACATATCATCTAGCTAAGTCCAGCTACATGGAATGACTTTTGAAACAACATATATGAAATACATTGTAACACCCAAAGGATGATTTCACTTTAAGCAATAAAAGAAGCAGATCGGCAAATGAAGAACGAGAACTAATCCAAAAGATACATAAACGTTTTTTTTTCAAGTATATATATATATATGTATATATATATATATAAATATAAACAGTTGCAAAACAGTTTCTTAAGCACAGATCTAACAAAAACTTTTAAGGAAATTGCTCAAACGATAACCCTTGAAGCTAACGAAATCAAATCCGGCTGCAATAAGGACTTATGAACTGAAACAGAACCTTAAGCCTAGATCTAACACAACAACTTTCAAGAAATCGCTTGATTTTACCATCAGTGGGTACTCACATTTTTAAACGCTTTATTTTTTCAAACGACAGTCCTTGACGAAAAAAGGTAATCCAATCAGATCAAAACTACTATGAACGATGATCATAAAACAAAAGCATTGTGTAAAACAGAACGGTAAGCCTAGATCTTACAAAAGCTTTCAAGAAATCACTTTCATTGTACCAATTCGTGTGTGTTCACGTTTAAACGCTTTCCAAACGAAAACCCTTGTAGAACTAATAAAATCAAACCCGACCATCTTAAATGCCAACGAATCCGGCCGATATAAAATCACCCGGGAGGCAATTACGTCGAAGAACGAATAAATTCCAATCCCGTTTTCGTAAAGAACTCATCATTCCAAACGCCCGATTTCGAAGCAAAATCTAAAGTTCGTTACTCACCCGACCACCCACAAGTAGTTAGACGATAGATTAAACCTTAGGATCAAAAGCCACATCAAAATTCCTTTCTTTCCAAAGGCAAAATAGCCCAAGCATCAAACTACACAACAAGGGCACACACAAATTCGACACAAATATCGTGTAAAAAAACTCGAACAATGAAAGTAACAAAGTGGGCAAGGATCTAAAACACCAAAGAACACTGGAAAATAGGAAAAAAATAAAAATAAAAATCCTCACTTGTTTATCCTTGGATTTGACACTTTTAGGCTTTCTTGAAGAACCCTTTTTCGAGCTTTCCAATAGCATTATGCTCTTCTTCTTCCTCTTCTTCCTCTTTTCCTACAAGTAAGAAAAAACCCCCCCACAAACATTAGGACACAGTGAAACAAAAGGGCTCTTTATACTTCAGACAGATAGCTATTAAAGAAACATAGTAAAAAGTAAATGTACAGAAACATACCATATATGGACAATCCATGGTGTCTCTATCTTCGCTAGAACAATTTTCAGAGGATGAACTATTTTGGCTCTCATAAATTTCATGAAAATTTTCGCTCAGTTTTTTCATGACTTGAAATACATCTCTTCTTTATTCTGTCTTTTTTTTTTTTATCTGCTTCAAAGTTTTTTATTGAGCTTAAATACAATTTGAGCAGTTGAGGAGGATGCTTGTATATAAAAAAATTTGGATTTGTTTGTATTTTTTGGTTTGATTTGGTTAATTTTGAAAAAGGTAGTATGGTTAGTTGTTAGTGGGTATATTAAAAAAATATTTAAAATAAAATAATTAAAGTTGATTTGATGTAAAAGTATGAGAGAGGGATTTGAAGTGATAGTTAGTTAAAATTATGTGAGTAGATGAATAGTGAAAAAAGATTGATGTGATGTGTAAGAATGATGGGTTGATATTATTTAATTATATTAATAATATTAATGACAGTTGAGTTGAGTTAAAGTTAAGTTAAAAATAGTGGTTGAGTTAAAAATGTTTGGATTTTTATATAAGTTTTATATCAAATTATTTTTATATGCTTTTTTTTGCTTTTTCTTTTTCCTTTATTTTTTTTGGTGAGAGGAAAGAGAAAATGAGTTCAACAGGCCAGCTCAGCACAAGCCCAGACAGCAAACACGGGCCATTTTAGTGGATATCTAGCATTGGTCCGAAAATTAATTCAACGTTTCAATTGCGTGTCCGTTTTCTCTTATTAATCATATTGACTACAAGTAAAAATAAAAAATAATAATAAAAAGGATGGGGCTATGTAAATTGGGGAACATTCAATCCTCTTGAGGTAAGTACTAGTGCATGGCCGTGCGATGCACGGGAAAACAACATTACGATTGTGTTATAAATTAAATATATAAGTAACATTAATCATGATTTACCTATTATTTTTAAATTAAACCGGATTGGACACAGTCCGACCGGATGGACCGGGAACCGGTTTATAACCAGTCTAGTTCGCTTGAATAAAATATTTGCTATCGAATCCTTCAACACCGCTCGGTTGGACTGGTAGGATCGATACGATTTTCTAAATAGATTTTGCTACATTTAAAATTATTTTAAATAAAATTACATATTTAAATAAAATAGAGATTTATAAACTTTTTATCAATTAGTTTAAACATTTGAATTTATAAATTGTTTAGATATTTAAGTAATTATAAAATATTTATAAATTAAAATCTATACCAATCACAAATGATATAATAAAATAACTTTGATTGTTTTGATGAGAGTCTGATTCTAAAAACCTTATATTTACTGTACATTAATAACATTATAATAAAACATTATTTTATTTACATAAATATTAATAAAATGATATATAAGTATCTATAAATTATTAAACATGTTGTCATAAAAGGATGACATGATTTTCGAATTATGATCTCTGATTCTTTGTCCCAAAGAACAATAGTGGCATTTGCAATAGAGTCCGAGATGAGCAAATTCATCTTGTATCTATTAAAAAAAATAGCATGAAAAATTCATCAATTATGACAAAGAGAATGAAGTAAATCAAATTCTTCTTTAGAAAAACTCCTTATAAAAAAGGATATTCTATCTATTTCCATGATAATAGTAAATTTGAAATCAAAATTTGGAGATATCTGAATTTTTGGAATACTTCAAAAGAGTCCGAACTATGTGAAATTATGAAGTTGATTTGATATTGAATTCAAGATCTGTTGGAATTTGAAAAAAATTCCTTAATTTTAGGTTGTTCAAAGTATATAAATATATGTGATTTGATTTTTTTCAATTCGAATTGTAGATGAGCCACATTTTACATCTATTATATGCGATTATTTATTATCCGATTTTATGGCAATCGAGTAGCAAGGAATTTAGAATTTTAAATTATCAATTAAATATTACATTTCATTTTCTTTGCAATTAGTTTTTTTGAATAAAAAAGGAGAAGAAATAAGGTTTATGCCTGATTTCATAATATGACCCATTTTTAATATTTAATTATATAAAGTAAGATATGATATTATAATCTAAAGTAACTTATGTTCTGATCTAAAAACTCATACATTATCCGTGCCTGTAAATTAGATACACAATAACAGATTTTTTGGGAAGTAAATTAAAACATGAAATAAAAAATAGCTAAAAAATAACCGATTTAGGGCCAACCGATTTTTTGGGAAGTGAATTAAAACATAAAATAAAAAATAGCTGAAAATAGTATGTAATTAATATGTGTTGATTTTTTCTTCTTACTATTTATGGTAAATAGTAAATCTTTTTATTTATATATAGATATCTTTTTCCTTGGAACAACGTATCCAATACACATATTTACTATTACAATACTCGTGTACTACACGGGTGGTTGAGTTAAGAAAATAAATAATAAAAGTTATTGCTAAAATAATTTTTTATTTAAAAATTTTGATGAACTAATTGATGAAAAAAAAAAGAGAGGAATGGACAGTGCAGAAAATGATTTGTAAATCGTAATTTAGTAAAAAAATATGGAAGAAAATTATAAGATGATAAGGGCTTGATTGTTTATCAAATAATTTGTTCAAAATGAGTTATTTTGGTTAACCATAGTTAATTTTGAAAAATATGGTATGGTTAGTTGTTAGTAGAATTTTAAGAATGTACTAAAATAATATTTAAAATAAAATAATTTAAATTGATTTGATGTAAAATTAGAGATAAATGATTGAAAATGATAGGTAGTTAAAATTATGTGAGTGGATGAATAGTGAATTAAAGTCGATGTGATGTGTAAGAATGATTGGTTTGTATTATTTAATTATATGAATAATATTAAAAATAGTGAGATTGAGTTAAAATTTAGTTATATTTTGAGTATGAAATAAATGGGAGTAAATTATTTTGTACACAATGAAGCCCTAAGATTGCTACTTGTCCAAACTAAGAAAGAAATTTGTACTAAGAGAAAAAAAAATAACAAAACTAAATGTACACTTACCAAGTTTGAAAAAAGTTATTTATGTCTAATATCAAGCTTAATTCCAAAGCAAAAATGGTAATACAAACAACATTTCGAAGTATAGATTTTCGCAATGTCAACATCCGAAGCGTGTGAGTATGTCATTTAGGTATTGAAATAATCTAGAGTTTTCGATATTTTAGTTTACCTTTTGGTAATTGGTGGTTTATTGAATTCGTGAAGGGGCAATTGGCTACATATTAAAATTAGTTTTGAATTTTTTTTTTTCAAACGACAATTATATTAATAACTTAAAAACTCAAAAGAGTACAATCGAAGTGTCAGTGACACACTAGAACCAGAAGACTGGCCAACTCCCTTGTCAACACACACAAGGGGGTACAAACTTCATCAAGGAGGCGAACAACCACGAAACAAAACTCTAAAAAAAAAGATACTAACTTCATATAGGAGAGAAAAGTAGACAAGTTGCACTAAAAGTAGACACATCTGCACTAAACGAAACAAAACAACAAAATAACGATCAAAAGCAACACACACCTAATAAACAACAAGATAGATTAAAACCTCCCCTAAACCTAACAGCTGAAACCCAAAACCATTTGACCCGTCTACCAAGTCACACCCAACAAAGAACACCAACCGAGCAACAAAACTAGGCTCCAAACCTGAAAACTGATCGAATAATTTTTTACACTTTTTAACTTAAAATTCAACTCAAAGTTAATCAAACTGAATTCTGATCAATATATATTATTAATATAATTAAATAATATAAATTAATCATCCTCACACATCACATCAATTTTAATTGACTATTCATTCACTCACGTATTTTCAATTATCTATCATTTTAAATGACGTATCTCATAATTTTACAACACACCAACTTTAGTCATTATATTTTAAATATTATTTAAATACTATCTCAAAATCTTATTCAATCAACCTTATATATCAAAATTAACTAACTTTAAACAATAAATCTAATATAAAATAATTTTTTTAAATCTAATTATCACCTAATAAGTCATCATAAGTGTTCTCAAGTCTCAATCTTGACACAAAAATCGAAAGGCCCATATCAATTTTTTTATTAGCAAAAAATTATAATTAAACAAAGTTAGACAATTATATTTTTCATCAAATATACATATTTTAAGATTGATGAAACGCCATATTATGGAGAACAACACATTTCATAACATAATTATATATATTTACTAGTATGACACTAGTGTATTACACGGGTGTTTGCTAAAAAAAAGTGGTTGAAAATTTAAATAATTTTTATAAAAAAATATATATTACTATATATTTTAGTGTGACACCTGTTACTTGTGCAACTTACCTGTGTTATATTATAATAATTTTCTAACTTATAACATAACTACATTAAATATAAATATATTAATTGAGAAATAATTTTATTTTTCTAATTAATTTTATTATTATTATAAAGATAAATCTAGTTTATTTATTTTATACATATAATATGGATGTCAAATCGAAGTTCATCAAAAGATGATTAATTTGATATATTATATGTGTAAAACCGATAAGAAATACAAAAGTTATCAACTTTTAAAATACATTTACAATTCAATGGTTATAATATGAAATGATATTAAAATACAATTAATACGTCTAAAATGATCATAAATAAATCAACATATTTATGGTAATCCGAACTTAATTATTTTTGAATTTGAATTAAATTAAAATCTATCCAAGCCAAATAATGAAGCATGAAATTTTGACACCTAGGATCTCGAAGCATGCGAGCCAACCACTTAAGCTCAGCATATTCGAGAATTATATATAAGGGATATAGGGGATTACAAAATAGTTGGGTTGATCCATCTAATTATCAAGTTATTTAGGACCAAACTCAGAACTTTATAAGCCTTTGTATGAAAGACTTTTGGGAAGCTTTAGCTAGGTTCTCATAATTACTCGTGGATCATATATATAATTGACTAATTAGCCTAACTAGTGCGTGGCCGTGCGATGCACGGGAAAACAATATTACGATTGTATTATAAATTAAATTTATAAATAACATTAATTATGATTTATCCATTGTTTTTAAATTAAACCGGGTTGGACACAGTCCGACCGGATGGACCGAGAACCGGTTTATAACCAATCTAGTTCGTTTGAATAAAATATTTGCTCTCGAATCCGTCAACACCAGTCGGTTGGACTGGTAGGATCGATTTTCTAAATAAATTTTGTTATATTTAAAATTATTTTAAATAAAATTACATATTTGAATAAAATAGAGATTTATAAATTATTTATCAATTAGTTTAAACATTTGAATTTATAAATTATTTAGATATCTAAGTAACACATTTTATTCAAATTTATTACAAAAAGTACTATATATATATATTAAAATGTTTATAAATTAAAATATAAACAAACCACAAGTGATTTAATAAAATAAGTTGATCGTTTCGATGACGGTCCAGTTCTGAAAACCTTATATTTAATGTATATTGATAAATATTATAATAAAATATTATTTAATTCACATAAATATTAATAAAATGATATCTAAATATTCATAAATCATTAAACATGTTGTAATAAAAGTATTGTTAATACGATTATTTGAAGTTTGGACTACATCACATTCACGTAATAAAATATTTTTAATATAAAATTTATATTTAAGTTCAATAATCGATTTTGTGTGGTCGAACAAATACATAACTTAGTCACCTGGGACCAACCAAGTTGTGTCAAGTTTTTTTGACTATTTTAAATATCACCTAAAAGTAATTCAATCAACCTGGGCAGTACCCTAGTTCAATCACTCGATTGATCCGAAGAAATTTTCTTATTTTCTTTACATATTTTAATTTTATGAAATAAAAACATTTTATGATTCATATAATAAATGTCTACACCAAATGATAGTATATTAAGATTATAAATTATATATCTAAAGATGAATAAATTATTTTTACTTTATGCATATTAATACAAAATAAACATAGTAATTTTCAAAAAATTAAGATTAATTGATTGATTATTCAATTTAAAGATTATTTTTAGCGTTCAATATTTTTTTTAAATGCACAAATATAAAGACTGAGATTTTAAAGTTTTTGTTATACTTTGAATTGAGATTTTAATGTTGTTCGTTGTTTCTAAGAAAAAAATAAAAATAAAAACTTACACACTTAATAAATCTTGCCGAATTTTTTAAATAATAAAATGAACTAAAGCCCGAAATTTAAGGTAGCATTTAATGATGTATGATTTTTAAAAAAATAAGAAAAATAATGAAAATGACTATTTATAAGCTGCATTAAATTTTGACCTATTTTTTTGTTACTATTTTTGGTAAATGTTAATTCTTATTATATATATATCTAGATATATATATATATATATAGATAGATATAGATTACAAGTACAGTTACAGTGACCTCTTCTATACAGACTACTTGGTCATGTACTATTTAAGCTTATAAGGATTTTCAGTATACCTCTTTTTTTTCTTTTTTTTTTTCTTTGTTCACTTTATCGAATTGATATCCTCACTATATACAAATATAGAGTTTTTCAAAATTAAATGTTAACTTTATATGTCAATTGTTAATGCTTTTAATTTGTCAATTTGTAGAGTAGTTGGTGCAAGTTCGATCCATTGACTTGTAGTACGGAACCGTTAGACAAGGATTTCAAGCTTGAATTGAGCCAATATATCACATGTATCAGATCGATTTAAGAAAAAATGGCCAATCAATCTCACACTGTTAGGTGTTTCTATAAAAACTTTAAAAAGTAAAAAGAATGTATAATTTTTAAATTGTTGAAACTTTGGGTGGGTTCTGAGCCATACTTGACTAGGTTCGGTTCACAACTAGCGAGTATAAACTACTTTCAACTTGCGATTTTTGTATATAGCCAGTGCAAGATTAACAATGTAGATTATTTTGACCCAATGGGTTGATCCGAGTTCACTAGTTTTGAAACCCATGACTCAACAGATCGGGCCTAAAATTGGTAGATCGATGGATTAGCCATTTTCCGAGTTAAATAAAATACAATTCTCTAATTGGAAGGGGTCAAAACGAAAAGGCTGAGACAACAATTTAAATCCACTTTTACATTACTATAAGAAAAAATGAAGTTCATACAAAATATTGACGATTCATTATCCAATTTCTGAGTTCAATCTGAAATCAATGAGTTATTGCAAAGTTCATGCTAGTTACTATGTACCTTGGTGAGGTAGTCATATCATTATTAAAGAGTAAAAACAATATTAATTTTGTTGGATATTTCATAATTTAGACAAAAATTAGTTAGTTTATGCTAAATTAATAAATTTAACAAGAATAATGTGTCATAATGGAATTAATAAATTGTTGCCGATATATTGTATCAAATAAAATCATATCAACCGGACACCTATATAACTTTCTTCTTCGTCCTTTTTATTCTTTTTTTTTGTTTTTGTTTNTCGGGTTAGTGGGATTTAACATAAATTATTTCTCTAGGATAGGAAATTTTATGTTTAGCTTTATTTATGGCATGATTGATAGGAATGAATGACATGGGAATAGAATAATCATTTACTTATTCACTAGTACGTAACCCGTGCGATGCATGAGATGTAAAATTTGAAAGAATAATATAACCTCACGTGCATTAGGATTGAAATTGAAATCATTAAAATACATAGGAACATTGTTGAATCATAAAAAGTTCGGTAACAATCATATATTATTAAAAATCTCCTTGTACATAACATTATGAGTTTAATTATTTAGTAATTCCTCATTATCACAAACTAATATTTTTAAAAGAGACAAATCCTAAAAATCAAACTAATATTTTTGGTGAACAAACTAATATTTTAGGATTGGTGAACAAACTATTTTAGGATTTCTAGAATTTGTCTCTTTTTGGTGAACAAACTAATATTTTAGGATTGGTTATATGAATAAGGCTACCTGTTTTTGGTGTTCTTTTCATTTATTTTCATTCAAACAATCTGATGACTTGTATAATGAAATCCGAATCTTAAGCCGAAATATTTTAAATTTTTTTTTTTTAAAAAATTAAAAAGTCAAGGCAATTAATTCAGATTAATTAAAGGTCAAAGAATATCCGCTCCTTGAAATAAAGACGTGTTCTATCATTAACCAAATATCCGGTTATTGATATAGAGTGGTTACCAAAAAATAGAACGCGATAAGGACGCTTCATGGAAATATCAATGGGATAAGGTCATAACAGATCGCTATACATTTTAACGATAAAAGTTCAGATGGAATGATTTATGATAATTATGTCGTAATTAATAGATTTTTAGATAAAATGAATTGAAGGATGGCTTGGCCTCTTGGGCTATCACCCTACAAAAGATGGCCCAGCTTTATGAGTCTTGGCCTCTTGGGCTACAAAAATACGAAAGTTGGCCCACTCCACAAGTTATGGCTTACTTACCCTAAAATTCCTTTTTTCAATATATCTATTTGAACATTGCACAAGTATTTGAATTTGAAATCCTAGAAGTGGGCCCCACAGGGAGGGTTTTTGGGGGGGAAAACCAAAGGGTTTTAACTTTTAAACGTTAATAAACAAATGAGCACACATCAAACATTCACACTGTACTTTCTCTTCCTGTAATCGGCTGCTACAGTTCATCTCATCCCTTGTCGATTCGAATTCGCGCCAAATTTCGATTAAGGAAATCCATTCGCCTTT